TAATGAATATTTATCTTCTTGACTGTAACTTCTGCTGACATGCCCATACAAGGCAGGGAACTCCGGAAGGGCAGACCTAGGTATTATTTCACCTTGTATTCCTAGCATATTGATTAGTGCATGTTCAATATATTCAGTGAGGTAATTAATTTCTAATGACATTTTTCTTCTGTTCTTAATAAGTATTGGTTGAGCTATGGAAAATTTGAGTATCTATTTTAAAAAGTTGTTTAAAAAACATTTAAAAACCATCCTCAATTTTAAAACAAAATTTGTTATTTTTAGAGACATCTGTTAATATAATCATTTAAGTGAACTTGCTGGAGAACTTTTTTTAAAAAAATTTTCCTCAGGAAAGGATAAGGAGGGAATGAAATCAATGTAGGAATTAAGGAGATTTCAAGTAGCTAAAGCAATGGTTAATTGGTGTTTTGGAAAAATAAACCTAGGACTGAGGATGTAGCTTGGTGGGAGAGCGCCTACCTATCTTGCCCAAGGCCCTGGTTTTCAATCCCTAATACAAACAAAACAAAACAAACAAACAAATAAAAACCAAACAAAACAATAAAAAACAAACACACAAGGCAAGGAAAAAAGACAAAAAATCTAAATAATTTTATCTACCCAAATTAATTTTTTGTTCATTGTTACTCTGTCAAAAGGAGAGCAATATCATCACAATTCTTGAGTGACTGTTATGATTTATATCTTAAATGTCCCCTACAGGCCTATAAGCTGAAGTCTTGGTCATCAGCCCGTGACACTATTGGGAGGTGGTAGAACCCTTAGGAGGTGGAGCCTGGTGGAAGAAAATTAGGTCATTGGAGGTGTGCCCTACAAGGTGATGTTGGGACCCCGCCCCTTCTTCTCTCTTTGCTTCTCAGATACCATGAGGTGAATAGTTTTACTCTACCATGTGTAATTGCTGCCATGATATACATGTTGCAGTGGGACCAAGGGACCATGGAATGAAACCTCTGAAACTATGAGCCAAAGTAAATCTTTCTTATTTATACATTGTTCATTTCAAGTATTTTGTCATGGTGATGGAAAACTGACTAAAAGAGTGACCAACTAATGGGCAGCCATTAATTATATAAAAGAGAACATAGGGAAACAGTCTTCTAGTTAGAGAGAAGATTCACATACAGAAATAAACAAATCCTCTGGGAATGAAGCTGCCTCCTTTTGATGATGAAATCTTTATAAATTATAGGGAGGAAGCATCCTATTATTTAATAATATTCTGAAGAAGTTAGATATAGTAACTTTCATTTGCTGATAACAATACCAGAAAACGTCCATCTCCAAGCAAGTTTCTAAAGGTTAACACAATTTGTCTTGAGATCTTTGGCCATCTCTTTCTGATTCTGCCTTTCTTCTACCCTCTTATTCTCAAAGTCCTTCAGTTCTCTGTTCATGGACCTTGCTTACAATGAGTAGAAGCTACCTTAAAGGTAAAAGTCTGAATCTGGGGTCTTGAGAGTGAGAGAAGGCTTGAACTGGTGGATTTTTTTCAGGATACGATTGTCCCAGGAGAGATATACTTTCCAAATATAACTTGAGAAGAGGAGTCTAGAAATCAGAGAAGAACAGTCTGGCAGAGATGACATTGGCTAGAGAGGCTGAAACTGATAGGAACATGAGCAAAAATTATGTGTGAGCAAGAGATATGGGATAATTTCATACTATGAAAGGTGAGTTTCCAAAAATAACCTGACTTATAGAAGATGTCCTGGTAGACCTAACCATCTCTTCCATCAAAGCTGAATATGGTTCCGTGTCTATCACTCATACAGTCTTCACCATCTTCATCCCTCTCTTGACCTTATATAGATTCAGTTTTCTACCTCCTACTACACCCTTTTCTCTATCCAAACAGAAAAGGATTCGAAATCAAACATTCACATTTCTTGGGTGATAACACTTCACTGTGAATTTTACTTACTGTGTCAGCCTAACCAGTCATTGCCGTATTAAGTTTTAAAATTTCTAATTGTGGAACGTAAGGTTTTATTTCCTGTTAATTCTCTTAGTAAGTAGATGGGAAAAATATTTTGTGTATGGGTCTTTAAAGTGAATAGATAGATACATAGGTAGGTAGGTATATAAATTTCTAGTTATGAAGGGACTATTTTTTTCTATATTCCTAAAAAACTAGCTCTGTTCTGAAATTACTATTTACTTTCCACTGTGTTGCACTACAGTATATGCAAATCTGTAATACATTGAGAACTTTAGCCATGTGAACAGAGCCAGTTTCAGGTTGCTTTTGCTCGAGGCACATGTGCAGTTGAATCTGAACACCATCATTCCTCACATGCATCAGTTAGGCTAGTCTAACCCCCCTCTACTCCCACCCTCATGCTTCTACTTCACCTTAATAATGGAGAGCTTGCAAGGCCTCCAACAGGTTGAGTCTCTTAGAGCCTTTAATTTGCAAACCATTCCTGCTGAGAGGCAGCCATTCAGCATATTGTTTTTGAAAGTCTCTAATACCTGGTTACCTGACTGAATAAAAATAAACAGAAAGTCCATAATCTTCAGTTTCTTTCATATGAATGTACAACAAATTGGTAATTGTTAAAGGGCTAAACATTAGATAGTTTGCACTAATTTTTCCATAAACAGTCATTTAACATTTTATAGAGGGGAAGCAAAAACACATTTTTCTGTTATTTAAAAAGTATACAGGTCAGAAGTGCTCAGTTACCTACTTTAAACAAATTTCCCACTAAAAGTTCAAGCAAAGTCCCCCCGCCACACACACACCTGTAATTATTATTTTACAGTTTGTGTGTTCTTGTACTTGTTGTCAAACCAGACAATTGGTGGAAGAGTAGAGGGCATAAAAATAATTAAGTTAATAGACTCCAGAAAGTTGCACTAAATAATACAAAAATTATATATTAATGAACTATGTATTATTTAGTTTCAAAGACTTCAACAGAGACTGCATGAGTATATTGCCAAAGTACTCAATGGAGGGAAGTTGATTCTTGGGGGAGAGTATTTCTTTCCCCTAAGGTTTCATCTGATTCTGTGAGAATTGAGCCAATTTACCTCTCTTTTATGAGGAGTCAGGTGCAGGAACCTAAATTAACTGGCACAATGATGTCTTATAGATTGTTTCCCCTGAATTGTTGCCTGGCAATCTTGACCCATGACCTGGCTCTCACTGCATTAATATATCCTTTATGAAGAAGCTGAATCAAGAGGAACAGATGGCAAGTGTTTTGGCATGAAATTTTCATGGTGCCAAAGCTATATATAACCTTTTGTATTGGGGGATGTGAGTGGGGAGGTGACAAATGCCTGTTTGGCTATTTTGAGCAGGTGGTATAAAGGTCACCCAAGCCTTTTTCTTTCCTAAGTATGTAAAGTATTTTGCATCTGTAGGACCAAAGTGAGACCCAAAAGAAAGAGGCTAACAAATCTGAGTTATGAAATCAAGAGGGTGAGGAAGTTGAAAACACTGCCAAGAGAGTGACTGAAGTGATCCCCATAGATACTCTACTTGGAGGGGGTCACATATGGAGCAAAGGGGTGGAGGGGCTGGTAGCCTGGGTGAGCTAGAAGAGTCAGGAGTAAAAAAGTTGGACAAAGAAAGACATAGGTGACATAGGAGACCTTCTGATGTTGTTACATGGTAGATGACAAGGCCCAGAGTAGAGCCTATGGCATGAAGGTCCTGGAAGTTGTGAAGTAAAGGCAATCCGGTGCTAGGGCATTGATTTGATTCATCAGTGTGAATATTGAAATTACCTCAAATAATGGTATGCTTAGTATGGAGAGAGGAAAATGTGAACTAGATGCATTCTCCAGTGGAATGCAGAGGAGTTTTGAAAGTTTTTCTCTAAAATAATTACTGAATTACGCAAAATCAGAAAGGCATGTTTCTAGCATAGAAAGACAGTTTTGACACTGATGGTAGGTCTCAGAACTTAACTGCTATCACACAATTTTAGCCTTAACAAAAATCATAACTAAAAGCCTAATTTTAAAAAATCACTGATGCACAACTAAAAACGTGTAACTGAGCACTTTTAGCTGACACCAACATCATTTTGATACTTAATGGTCTCTTAAATTGCCCAAGTAAATGTTTCTGTTGATGCCACTCATTTCATGCTTCTGGCCTCTGACAGCACAATGGAAATTTGGGAACTTGTAAGAGCAAGTGACATGTCAGATATCAAATCTGTCTACCTAATAGTATGTGTGAAGGAGATTGAAACCTTGATTTAGTAGTGTTTTTGTTTAAAATGTCTAGATCTGAAAAAAAATGTATTTTGTCTTTTTTTCATCTTTGGGATTTTGTTTGGCTTTGTTGCTTAAAAGGGATTTCTGTTTGCAAAGTATAGGTTGGAAATTTAAATATTCATTGTGAATTTAAATAGTGAATAGTGTCCTTGGGGGAAAGTGACAATTGCCTCTTGCAATGAAGACCTCAAAGTTCACTGAGAACTTGCCTTGTCAAATGTGACCTTTGGAGAATGTTGTCAGTATAGAGATGTAGGGGAGGAATTCTTTGTAGATAAATAAGCAAGCACTGAGAAGGGCCAGAGTCCCTATGAAGCACACATTCTACCACACCTTTATTCCCGCCGGAAGGCCGAAAGAAGGTTCCAACCCGAAAAAATAAGAACCCCAAAAAAAAAAAAAAAAAACCGGTGGGTCCCCTCCAAAAACCCAAAAAAAACTTAAAAAAAAAAAAAAAAAAGGAAATGGGGAAAGGAAACCCACCACCTTGTCTGAACTTAAAGAACAGCAATATTGCAGTTTAGAGAAAGATCAACTTACCTATATGTATGAAGACCCAGTACACAAGAGTATGGCCTATGACAATATATCTGAACTAAAACAAAGACCAGTTATTCATGTGCTACCATTGACCCTGATAATTGGTGTCAGGTAAAAGAGTGAACTCCCCAGCCCCACACCCCTTTCACCCCAGGATGGGGGAAACTCCTCACATATTTTGCTTTTCTTTGCTACAGGACATTTGTGAAGATATTTCTGACCATGTTGAGCAAATCCATGCCCTCCTTGAAACAGAGTTCTCCCTAAAGCTGCTGTCTTACTCTGTCAATGTGATTGTGGACATCCACGCAGTGCAGCTCCTTTGGCATCAGCTCCGAGTCTCCGTGCTGGTTCTGAGAGAGCGCATTCTGCAAGGACTGCAGGATGCCAATGGCAACTACACCAGGCAGACAGACATCCTGCAGGCTTTCTCTGAAGAGACAAAGGAGGTGAGTGTTTTCCTTGAAGAGAAGTAATGCCTTGTCAAGTGTGACCATTTGAGGATGTTTTCAGTGTAAAGATAACAGGTAGGAATTCTTTGTAGATAAATAAGCAGTTCCTAAGTTGGACTTTGAATCTAGGTGTAGTGAACAGAAGCTAGGACACTTCTAATGTGAATGAGGCTTTAGGTCAGAGTTAACTCACATCTGGTAGTTTACACAAATCCTATCCATAATTTTTGGTACTAACCTGACTTCTTGTTCCTCTTCAAATATTTAATGCTTACTTATTGAGCACTTACTATTCAAGGTGCTAGGTGTCAAGAATATAATAGGGATCAAAACATAGTCTTTACCTTTAAGGAACTTTGACTATAGTGGAGAATGGAGAGAAGTAAACATACATTAAGGACCAGCTATGGTAAGTTTAAAAGATTTAATTGGAGGATGGAGAAAGGAACACCTAATTCAGAGAGGAAGGAGTTTTTCAGAAAAAGTAGATCTAACCTGAAACTTGAAGGAGAGGCAGAATTAGATAGGTGAATGGGGTAGAATGTGTTCTAGACAGAAGGAATGGCGAGATCAGAGGCTTAGAGGTAAGAGAGAGTGACAGGCTTATAGACAGATAAGACTGGAGCAAAAAAACTAGAGGGAAAAGGATGCAGGATTTGTCCCAGTAAGTAAGCAGAGGTTAGTCATGAAGATAAACAGCTATTAGAACCATATTAAGTGAATTAACCCTTATTTTGAGGACAAAAGAAGTGTTTGTTCAGGGAATTGCCATGATTAGATTCATGCTTTAGAAAAATTATTCTGGATGTAGTGAATCAAATGAACATTAGAATGTTACAGAGCTAATTTATTTTTCTTGCTTATGTTAATAGGACTTTAAACAGTTTTTTTAAATTACTGATGAATTATTTCATCAGGGATACTATAAATTTGAATCCAAGTGAATTCTACCATTCTCAAATAAAATTGACACTTCCATTAATTAGGAGGCTGAGGCAGGAAGATTGCATGTTCAAGACCAACCTTGGCAACTTATTGAGACTCTGTCTCAAATAAAAATAAAAAGGGTTAGGGATATAGCTCAGTGGTGGAACACTTGCCTAGCATGTGTGAGGCCTTGGATTCAAAATTCAGTAACACACACACACACACACACACACACACACACACACACACTATGAAAAGCCATTCAGGCTAATGGTTCGGAATGCTGTTTTCATAGCTGTATCATGATACATCCATAATGGTTCTCACAATATGAACTCAACAATTACTTGTGGATTGGATTTGAAGCAGTTTAGTTTTTACTTGGGATCAGTCTTTATTATTGCAGAGTTGTAAGATTATGTTGTGTGAGGAACAGAGAAACAGTGGATTTTCAGTTATCTGCTTTGTGAATATTTTCTATGAATTGAAGCTATACTTCCATGATCATCCTTCCTGAAACTGGATTTTTATTCTATTTGTGTTGTGTGTTTTGTGTGTGACTTTATGAGAATCAAATGACTGCTTAGTTTTGTTTTTACCAGCATACTAGGATTGTGAAAAACAGGAAGGGGATTTGGATAAAATTCCCAGCTGTATCAGAATAAATTCATCTGTGAAAGATTTGTAGATTGAGGAGATAAATGGCAAAACACAAAAAAAATAACAAAACTCTGATAAACTACAATAGTAGGTATCTTTCCAGTGAAGGAGGATTCACTTTTCTATTTTGAGAAGTTAGCTGAAATTCAGAGCCACATTGAAGAGAGAATTGAAATTCTAGAAAGTGGCAAGTTCTAACTCTTTTGTTTCTTGAAAAAGCAAAATATGTTTTATTCTTTATTTAAATATGGAATTAGGGCTGGGGTTGTGGCCCAGGGATAGAGCGCTCACCTAGCAGATGCGAAGCCCTGGGTTCAATCCTCAGCACCACATAAAATAAATAAATAAAATAAAGGTTCTGTGTCCAAATACAACTAAAAAATAAATATTAATAAATAAATAAATAAGTATGGAATTAACCATATATAGTAAACAAATTGGCAAACCAAACAAACGAACAAAAACTAAAGTAAAACTCAAAATTGTAGAAAAATTGTATGGCACTGAAATTTTTATATTTTAGACACTGTGATAATCACCTAGTATTTTTTTTAATCTAGTAAGGAAGGAAGGTAAGTGGTATTAAAATTGTTTCATTTTACAGATGTAGAAACTGAATTTAAGAGAGGTGAAGCAAATGTTTAAGGAAATGAATCTAGGAATAATTAAATAAAACCAAACCAGTTTTTAACTGATTTCTATTTCAATAGCAATTATTTCCTCCCTCTCTTCCTTCTTTCTTTTCTACTTTTTATAAATTTGTATTGAATTTCTGCTATGTATAACACATTAGGCGTTAAAGATGAATAACATATTAGTAATCATCTTCCTAATTTTGTTTGCTCCTCATACTGTTCTGGAAGGTAGGCAGGGTGGGTGTTATTATCCTCATTTTTACGGGTGTTATCATTGCATCCATCTTACATATGAGAGGACCAAGTTGAGAAAGCTAACGTTACATACCTAGTGATAAGTTGTGTCCAAAATACCTGATAAGAACAACTTAGAGAAGGAAAAGTTTATTTTGGGTTCAGGGTTTCAGGGGTTCCATCTGTGAATGGCCAACACTTTTCCTCTTGCCCTGAGGTGAGGCAGAATGTCATGGTTGAAGGGTACAGCAGAGAAAGCTGCTTAGCTCATGGCAGTCAGGAAGCAGAGAGGGAGCAAGGAGCCAGGCGGACAAGATGTAATCCTCAGGAACATACTCCCAGTGACCTACTTCCTCCAGCCAAGCTTCACCTCCTTGCAGTTTACCACCCAGTACAGTAGTCCTCTCAATGTTTAATCTACTTGATGGATTAATCCACCAATGAGGTTACTGTGGTCATAATCTAATCATTTCACGTGTGAACATGGTAGCTCATGAACTTTGGGGGGGGACACTGTATATCCAAACTATAACAATAATTAATATTAACACAATATCAAACATTGATGAAGGCTATGTACAGATGATGTAGTAAGTACCTCGCCTAAATGATACTTCCTTCTCCATGGGGATACATTGGTCCTTCCAGAGTACTCACAGCATAGCATTTTGTGTATTCTTCCACTAGCACTTACTATGAACCAATTTATAAGAAGACAAAGTTTGTGTTAGATTTTGAACTGTATAAGGATTAATACTAGATTATATTCATCTGTCTTCCACAGAATATAGTTTGTATCACTGTATATAAATGTTTTATAAATTGAATGAAATAATACACCACTTAAGGTGTGGAACGGGGAGGTATCACTGTAGGTTGGTGTGTGGAACGGGGAGGTATCACTGTAGGTTGGTGAACTATGAATTAATCACAGAGATTCTTTGGTACATAATTTCAGCCTGTAGAAAAATGGACATTCTTAAAAATCATTAGTGTAATATAAATAAAAATATTGAAATGCTTTGTGTACTTTTTCCTTTGCCCATTAGAAATGGAACTTTACCTCACATTTCCCTATTATACTGCTGCTCTCTGGAATACATTTAGAATTATGGACTCCTAACAGTAGAACAGAAAGGAATATGATTGAGTTTAGTCCATTGGGTCTGAGGACTCTGGAGGTGTGTGGCACTTTAATAAAAGGTCCATGAATTTATGTGTTAGGAATTAAAACAACAAACACTATGTAGTTAGATTAAAGGAGTTAGGGGACAGATATATATATATATATATTTTTTTTAATTTTATTTTTGTATATATATACATATATATATATATTTTTAACTATACCTATACTTCAAAAAATAGAATTCCATTTCTTATTCTCTTCTCAGGAGAAACACTAGATTAGGCATAAAAATGACCTTAAGTAGCAATGGAGACTGATGTACTCTTGGGCCATGTTAATAGAGAGATCTTCTAAATTATGGACATTAAATTTCATGTTCATTTAGTGGCAAAATACAGTATAGCATTCAAAAAAGAAGGCTCTAAAAGTATTTGGAACAAGACTTAAGTTAACTTAATTATGTGTAAGGAACAAAGCAAAATTTCTTGCTTCAAATTATTAGAAAATGGTGGTGGGGAGCTTTCTTAATATCTAAGATAAGATTGTGGCCTGTAATAAAGTAAAGAAATTACCACATTTATAAAATATAACCTTCTGAAAAGCTGCTTCATAGCATATTAAATGGAGGTATATTTGAGTGGAGTCATTGCAAGGCAGTTCTGACATAGGTGTCTGCACTAATAATTAAACATGATGTTTCTGAAATAAAAAAGACAGTAAAACAGCATGCACTCATCCCCTGAGCCGATGCCTATCTGAGACTATTACATGCATTAGAAAACTATCTAGGAAGGTAGTCAAGAGGAAGCAATAGGGCTGAAAGTATTAGTACTACTAAAAAATATTTTAAATAATGAAACTCAGTGTTCATCTGCTGTGAAAAACTGTAAAGAATGTTCTTTTCTTAAAATTGTATGGTGAAAGACAGGGCTATTTTTGATTGCTCCCCTCCTAATCCCCCCCAATTTTTTTCACATTAACAAATTACAGCATGAATAAAAAATAATTATCCTAAAGTGATTCAACTAGTTTAGATAGTTGGCCTTGCTGGGAACAGAATCAGAGAGGGCACCTTTGGAACACTGAGTACTTTTGCGTGTATTTTATTTTTTAAACCAGAGATCCCTGAAGATTTAGGAAAGGCAGTCATACTCTATTCTCTGAGATGAAGTTATATATTCATCTAACATATATATTCACTATATTCATCTAACATCATTTATTGAGCACCTATCATTCAAGACAGTGTCCCTGGTCTTAAGGTGCTGTGACCACCAAAATGGGAACTAAATATACTCCTAAGGCCATGGTGTTCCCTGTTTGTCCAAAGGCTGGTGGCTGATACGTGCAGTGGTCTAATTGTTACCTGAACTCTCAAAGAAACTTTGAGTTTCTTTTCTCTACTCATCATATAAACCCTTTCTTTAGTGCCTCTTTAACTTCATGTAAGTACTGCAGTGCAATAACTATGATAGAAATGACAGAAAATAATTTTGCAATTATTTTGTAACTAATTGATAATTGGACTAGGTCTTATGGAATAATTTTTGGACTTGACCGTTACTTACAACACTATTTCTGTAAAAGAGTAACTTCTGAGTAATGAACAACCAAAATAAAAGATTAAAAAAAAAAAGTGCAACCTGTTTTAAATTGCAAATCTCACTGTTTTACTCTCTTTAAAATTGCACAAAAATGTGACATTTGTTAGCTAACTCATTCCTTGGTATTTTTTGCTTTTGACTTTGTTATTTAAAGAACCTAGTCCAGGTATGAACCTCAAAAGTCACACAATTCCATTTAGATAATTATTGTTGAGATTGACAGCTGAAACTGATTTCTTTCTTTGTGCAGTATAATTTGGCATTAGAGGTAACTCTCATCTTGAAGAAAGTTTCCTTCTCATCATATTTTATTACTAAAAATAATAATAAGAGCAATAAGCCATATACTTATTGCAATAAGCACTTACCCATATATCTCCTTTAAGACTCTCAACATCCCTGTGATATGGCTTACCATTTCCTTTTTCAGATGAAGGAAACAAAGCTTAGCAACATCAAACTACTCACCTTAAGTTGCATAGCTAATTAGTGCTAGGGCAAGAATTTGACCCTGAAGCTTGAGTTTTTAATCATTTGAGTCAATTAGAAGTACATAATCAGAGGAATAAGTCACATGAATGAATAGAGAAATGTCCCCAAAATGTCATCATTCACTCATTCAACAAAGGTGTATTTGAGTGCTCACTCTCTACAGATCTCTTGCTAAATGCTGTGGGTACACTGGTCAGTCAACTATTTTCTGTGTTATTTACACTCTCACAGTGTTTACAAACTATGTGTGAAACAAATGAGTCAAGTAATCATAATAGTATTTATTTACATTGAGATAAATTCTTGAAAGGATAATGGTATAGATTTGAGAGCTTCTGACTTAACTGATGGTTTTTACTTAGCTCAGTAAAAACCTGAGCTAAACTCTTGGGGATGAATGAGAATCAGAGTTAAGAGATGTAAGTGGGAAGCTTTCCAGATATGAAATAACATAAGCAAAGGCCCTGATACAGGAGGAAACATGATATGTTCCGACTATAAGGAGGATAATGTGACTGGGTACAGTTGTGGAAGGGAAAGTGGCATGAAAGAGGCTTCTTCATGCCTGACCTTGGAAGGGTTAGGATTTTTAACTGAACAGCAAGAGGAAGCTACTAAAGAATTTTAAGCAGAGAAATAACAGTAGAAATTTTGCAATTCATAAAGATTAAAATTGGTGGAAGTGTGGAAAACAAATTAGAAGAGGGGACATGTCAGCTTAAAGTAATTTCCAGTGCTCAGAACTTGGACTTTAGGTCAGACAGCCTCCATGGGCTCCTTTTGTACCTTCTTTTGACCCAGGGTCTTTTGTAAACAGAAGAATAGTACAGAGCCCAGAGAAAAGTTCTAAGGATTAAGTGAAAAGGTGATAATAGGAATCAACCATCCCAATTTATGGATGAGGAAACTGAGGCTTCAAAAAGTTAAAAGTTTCTGTTATTATTATTATTTGAATTATCCAGATATGAATTAAGAGTGAAAGGAGTGGAAGATAAAGGCAAATGAAAGTCTGAAGGGAGAGAGCATTCCCAACCCAAAACAAGCAAATGAACAATAAAACCCACTTAAGATCCTGACAAGGCCAAGTCTCGGGATACCTGATTGAAAGGGAGTGAGGGCCCAGAAACCATGTAGGATCAGGCTTCAGTGGGCTCATCCCAGTTATTCCTCCAGGAGAACAGAGGTCCAGGAATAAAATAAACTTTCACTTTTCTATTTCCTTCCTTTATTTCCTAAAGGGCTTGATTAGACCAAACAGTCCCTTAGCATGATAAGCAAATTAGGATTTCAGGGGTCCATTTGCCCCAAATCATCAATCAGAAATCTCCCTATTTGCTGTGTGATCTGAGAAAGTGCATTAATGGGGTTGGGGTTGTAGCTTAGTGGTACAGCACTTACATACAAGCACAAGGCCTGAGTTCAGTCCCCAGAACCACAGAAAAAAGAAAGAAAAAAACTATATTAGCAATGAGACAAAAACTTTAATCACATAGTTGAAGTAAATACTTGAAACACTTGTATTTTATAGCGTGGAGAGGTTTCTTTTCTTTATTTTTGGTACTGAAGATTGAATTCAGGGGCTCTTTAACCATTGAGTTGCATCCTTAGCCCTTTTTTATTTTTTATTTTGAGAAAGATTCTCTTTAAGTTTTTTTGAGCCTTAAGTTGCTGAGGCTGTCTTTGAACTTGCAATCTTCTTGCCTCAGCCTCCCAAGTTGCTGGGAATGCAGGCATGTATTACCATGCCTGGCTTGCATGGAGGAGTTTCAAATTGATGAGCCTACCTGGAATTATAAACAAGGGAAGTAGGAATTTAGGATCTAACATACACTGGTGGATTTAGGTGGAGAGGGAGAAATGCATGCAGAGGGAGGAGATGGGGCTAAGATGATAAAGTTTTGACATTCATTAATTTTCTCTAGGAGTAACTGTGTATACCTTTGAAAACATGGGACCAAACAGAAACTGGTCATGAACTATTTATGTTATGTATTTGAAATGTCAATAGTTTACCTTTTTATGATTTGTGAATATATATTTAATATGATTGGTTTAATATAATTAATTATTTCACTTTAAAATACTTACTGAGCATCTACTATGACCTAACCATTGTGGTAGGTATTGGTGCAATAACAAAAAACAAAACACATACTCAGAGAGATTTTACTCTTACATTATTTTGTTCTCAGAAATTTTATTACTTAAGGCTTTACTTATGAATGCATATTAAAGGATTAATATACTAGTTTTAAATAAAAAATTAGATAAGAATGGATATTTTGGGTTTGACCTTGACCATTTCTCTTGTGGCTCTATGTTCTAGATGAAATAAAAGTCTTCAAATATTTAAGAACAGGATATGATCTATGATTCAATGAGGTAATTGATTAGTAGGCCTTTTTGTATGTCAAAACAGAAGCAGTCAAGACTGATACATTTCTGAGCTTAATAGCAGCCTGTGCTGAGATTTCATTTGAACAGCAGTTGAGTATGACTCATGTTGAATTTACTGAAACCATTACCATTCTCTGTTTCAGGGCCGACTTGATTCTCTAACGGAAGTGGATGACTCAGGACAGTTAACTATCAAATGTTCTCAGAATTACTTGTCTCTGGATTGTGGTATTACTGCATTTGAGCTATCTGACTACAGTCCAAGTGAGGATTTGCTCAGTGGCCTGGGTGACATGACCTCTAGCCAGGTCAAAACCAAACCTTTTGACTCTTGGAGCTATAGTGAGATGGAAAAGGAATTCCCTGAGCTTATCCGAAGTGTTGGGTTACTCACGGTGGCTGCTGACCCTGTCCCTTCCAGCTGCAGTGAAGCAGTCAGTGAGGAGATGTCTCAGGTATCTCTCTCAGCAGAGGACAAAGGTGGACGGGAGGAAAACAGCGCTTGTGCAATCGAAGAGCAACCAGGCTTAACATCGGGTATGCCATCTTCAGGGGTAGCTCTGACAAATGCTGTTCAGTCACCTTCTGAGACTGGGAAGCAAGAATGCAGTTCCTCCTCCCATCTTGGCACAAAGAACCAACAGCCTCCTCCTTGTGAGAATGCAACCCCCAAGCGATCCATCAGAGACTGCTTTAATTATAATGAGGACTCTCCCACACAGCCCACATTGCCAAAAAGAGGGCTTTTCCTCAAAGAAGAAATTTTAAAGAATGATCTAAAAGGCAGTGACGGCAAGAAGAAGATGGTTGATCTGAAGCCTGAGATGAGTAGAAGCACCCCTTCGTTGGTGGACCCTCCTGACAGATCGAAGCTTTGCCTGGTGTTACAGTCTTCCTACCCCAACAGCCCTTCTGCTGCCAGCCAGTCCTATGAGTGCTTGTACAAGGTGGGGGTTGGGAATCTTGAAAACATAGTCAAAAGTCACATTAAAGAAATCTCTTCCAGTCTGGGAAGGCTTAATGACTGCCACAAAGAGAAACTTCGACTTAAAAAACCACCCAAGACCTCAGAAGAGGTGCCTCCAGGTGGAATACCAAAACAGGCCACTAGTTCAGGCAAGCAAACTGAAACTATGAGGAGCTCAGTAGTGCTGAATGGAATGCCTTCTTGTACTTCCAAGGCCATAGAAGGGCCAGAAACAGATTCTGCGTCCACATCCTCTGTTGAGCCGTGCAGTCAGAGAAGTCAAAATGCCAAATTGTCAGTGCCGTCAGAAATATCCAGTTCACCACCTTTTACTCAGAGCAGTGAATCTTCTGTTGGTTCAGACAATACTTTGTCTCCAGTATCCCTTCTTAAAAAACATGAAAGTAAAAAAGATTGCTCCTTCTCCCCAAGTCATGTTACCAGGAATGGTCAGGTTGTGGAGGCCTGGTATGGCTCTGATGAATATCTAGCACTACCCTCTCACCTTAAGCAAACAGAAGTGTTAGCTTTGAAGCTGGAAAAGCTAACAAAACTTCTGCCTCAGAAACCCAGAGGAGAAATCATTCAGAATATTGATGACTGGGAACTGTCTGAAATGAATTCAGATTCTGAGATGTACCCAACATACCATGTCAAGAAAAAACACACAAGGCTAGGCAGAGTGTCTCCCAGCTCATCCAGTGACATAGCCTCTTCCCTCGGGGAAAGCATTGAATCTGGGCCACTGAGTGACATTCTTTCTGATGAGGAGCTATGCATGCCTCTTTCTGGCATGAAAAAATTAATTGATGAGAAATCAGAGACAGCTTCATCCTCTGAGAAAAATGAGAGCCATTCCACCACAAAATCAGCTTTAATTCAGAAACTAATGCAAGATATTCAACACCAAGACAACTATGAAGCCATATGGGAAAAAATAGAGGTAAGGTGGTCTTAATCTGAATGATTTCTTACCCGCTTTTTAGAAGTAATGCTGGGAAAAAGTCAATTTCGCCCCAATTCATTAGCAAGTGTATTACTGTTTTTGATAACCAGTACCCCAAAGAAAGAAAGACAGAAAAAGGCACAATGATCACTACATTGTGACATTTGTATCACTTGGAACTGCCCTTGTCAATGTGTTGGCTTGATAAGTCCCTGCCTGGTATAGAATTCTCTATTGATATTGCTCAAACTTAACAGGGTTCCTGATGAATGGTAGACTCCCTGGATATAACAAAATAAAATAAAACAATAGCTATACATACATAAGTATCTCAGGAATATATGAATAGAATATTCCAGTTATCTTAAGTGCTTTTTGATTAATTTGTTCTGACCCCAGAATAGCTTCCCCATCTCTAGTAATTTTCTGTTGAAATAGACCACACAGTTGTAATTTATCAGGAATCTTTGTTTTTCTTTATTCTCCATCCTTGGTGAGACCTTTGGTTTTATGACCCTGCCATCTGGGGAATTGATATTTTGGGTAAATCTGTACTTTTTGAATGAATTGTTAGATGTGATAAAATCTTTGAGGATAGGCTTATCAAAATTCTCAAGGCTGAGCTCCATGATTCAAGTTTTGAGTTGATTTTTTAAGAGACAGCTGAGCCAGAAAGATTCACTCTGATTATTGTGGCAATAGCCCTTTCTCCAGAACTTCACTGGAAATAAATTCATTCAATTTGATCGTTCTTATGGTTTCTTGTTCAGTGACATAAATAAGTATGCCGTATATCATTTGTATAGCATTTTACTGTGTATAAAGCTCTTCCAGAAGAGTTTTTTACTTGACCTTCTCAGCTGTTATGTGAAGCAGGCAGGTAATGCCAGAGTATTCTCCCTTTATATTGATGAAAATAGTAAGCGCAAGTTGTTTTTTCTAAGCTGAAATAGTTGGACAGATAGATAGCCAGACAGACACACTGAACCTTTTGCTTGGAAACTGAGACATAAACCATGTCTTCTGAGTCTCCGTCCAGTTTTCTTCTATTACATCAGGTTGCCTCCCTGAAAGAGGTTAGAGTTTCTCCTTCACCAGGCAATTATAAAATTATAGGATAACAGTGTTTAGGAGCCATCTATATTTGATAGAGAAGATTAGGAAAACCCAATGGTTGGTTTGTGGCTGCTATTCCCAGTTTTTCACATTCATTCATTGTTGAACACTATTCTGAGACCAGTGTTATGCTAGACCCTGGGTAAAGAGTCATACATATGGACAGAATAACTGGGAGTAAAAGCAGGTTCTTAAAAGAAAGAGGGAAGAATTAACATAAATATACAATAATCATAACATAATACTAATTAATACAGATCATGTATTTATGTATCTACTCATCACAACAATTCTAATATTAACCCCATTTTATGGATGAGGAGACTGAGGAAGTCTTCTGTAGATCCCACACCATTGACTAAATGCTGTCATGCCTCTCCATAAAGAAGTGGTTAATATGTACTAAATGTAAACAATGTAGTATGGAAGAGAAGCAGTCAGTGGAGCTAGAATTTTCCTGGAGTATTCTTATACAGCGCTACACCTTGTATGGGGCTTTGAAGGATATTCAAGATTTAGACAGATAAGAAAAAGGAAATTAAGCATGTCAGGGAGGAACAGCATAAGCTAAAATGCAGAAATCAGAATGGAATGAGAATGGATGTGGGAGTGCAAAGACAGCTGTCCCAATTGGAAGGTCTGTGATTAGAGAACAACAAAAGTTTCCATACCTGGAATAGACCTGGATGTAGCAAGACCCTGAAGGTTGCACTAAGGCAATTAGAATTTGTTTACCAGGCATCAACAACTTCTCTGAAAGGGAATGAGAGTGGTAATACAAGCCATAACAAATAGTGCTTTTTGATCCCTTATTTTGTGTTTGCTTGTACTGGATATTTACATGTCTCATTCTATTTAAGTTGTAGAATATAGGAATTTTTCATATGAATAAACTAAGGCAGCTTATGTTAGGAAACTTGCTCAAGTCCTCACAACTATTAGGTGCAAAGTTAGTATTTGCAGCCAAAGCCAGCATACTAAAGCAGTGTAGGCCATGACCTCCAATGATTTTTCTGGAAGGTTTAATTGGCAATAATGGTGGTGCCTGGTAGCTCTGGTGGTGTGGAGATAACAGCCTGAGGTGGAAAAACTCAGGGACTGATGTGATATAGACTGAACAAGGAGGCATTTTCAAGGAAGTAAACAGGATCTAGAAAACTGGTTCCAGGCCTTGTCTAGTCATTAAAGCCTGGGGTGGCCCCAGCTAGTCATACTTCTTTCTGAGCTTTGTTTCTTCTTTTAGAAAAAGAGATGTTTTAACCAAGTGATGGCTGTGCTATCAACTTCCAATGGTAGCATGCTCTAAATCTATAGTTCTACAAAAATGAAAGCTAAGTTTTCAGCATCTGGGGACTGATAGATGGAAATATTTAGATTGGTAGCTAGTTTAAGGAAGAGATGGGATAGATACTTTTTAAAAACTGTGTATATAAGGTGAGTATATGGTAAAGCCTTTAAGAAGAAGTATCTGTAGGTAATCAGAAATACTATACTGGTTGGGATATGAGGTAAAGGAAGGCAATAAGATTAAGTTCCTTCCTCAGTTCAACCTCCCTTCGCTCACTCATTGCTGAAGTAGTGACGGTAGCTGCCAACCCCTAGCCAACTGAACTTGAATATCACACGCTAGTTTTGGTCTCTTACAAATAGTGACCTAGAGAACTTATTCTTTTTTTAATATTTATTTTTTAGTTTTCGGTGGACACAACATTTTTGTTTGTATGTGGTGCTGAGGATCGAACCCAGGCAGCACGCATGCCAGGCGAGCGCCGCTACCACTTGAGCCACATCCCCAGCCCCGAGAACTTATTCTTCTTGCAGAATTTAGGAGACAATATTACTTAACATCTCTGTACAATATTACTTAACATCTCAGTCCTATAATAGAATTGCCTATGATAATTCTATCATAGGATTATTTTAATAATCTTTTTTTTTTTTAAAGAGAGAGTGAGAGGGGAGAGAGAGAGAGACAGAGAGAGAGAATTTTTAATATTTATTTTTTTTTAGTTCTCGGCGGACACAACATCTTTGTTGGTATGTGGTGCTGAGGATCGAACCCGGGCCGCACGCATGCCAGGCGAGCGCGCTACCGCATGAGCCAAATCCCCAGCCCTCTTTTAATAATCTTGAAAAAGTAGGTTTTTATTTTATTTTATTTTTATTGGATCTTTTTAGTTATACTGACAATAGAATACATTTTGACATAACTATAAAATAGGAGAAAGAAATATTTAATAAGGTGGACATGATTTATAAAATCATGGATTATATCTTGCTTTAATTCAGTCCCCAAGGTTTTAAAAATATCCTAAATTGACCACTTCTCTCTCCTTCTGGTTTTCCTACTCTGGTCCTAGTAGTTAGTCTCTCCTCTTGCCTAGATTACTGTGGAAACCTCCTAGCTGGTCTCTTTGCTTCTATTCTATTCCTCCTTCAGTCTAATCCCAACATGGATATAAATCGGATGATGTCATTCTCCACTTAAAATGCAGCAACTTCTACCAGTGCACTTAGAGGTCCTACATGGAGTGGTCTCTTAATTTCCTCTTTGACCTTATTTCCAACTGCTTTTCCCCATTTCACTGCATTTCCACTGGCTTCTGTTGTTCCTAGAAAATTCTGGGCATGCTTCTTTATGGTATAGCTGTGGTGGTACCTAGTGTAGAGATATCAGTTTCCTCTGACTATAGTCTTTCCATGAGATGCCCTAATTTCTGATTCCTCCATCTCTTCTGAGTCTTTGATCAGAAATTACTTTCTCAGAGAAACCTGACCATCTGACCTCCCCCACCGCAACTTCCCTCTCCCATCCTCTCCCCTCTCTACTTCTCTTCCCCTTCCCCTCCCCGCCTACCTGCCTGACTGCCTTTCTTTTGTGATTCTGGGGACTGGGGATTGAAGTCAGGGCCTCACATGTGACACTAACACTCTACCACAGAGCCACACTCCCAGCACCTATTATTTAAAAGAGATATATAACCCTGCTTTTTAAATCTCTTATCACATTTTTTTTTCCTTTTATGTCATTTCTTATGTGGTATTTTTATTGCATTTGTTTCATGTCCCCCTATTAGAATGGGAGCTCCATAATGGCAGGGATATTAACAGTTTATTTTGCTAGTGAATTTCATGTACTTAGAACAGTGTCTAGCATATAGCAAGCAGTCAGTGGAGACTGTTGAATGAATGAAAAAAATCCATCTTGGAGTGGAGGAAACTGAGTTAAGACAAATGAAATTGCAGTAGCACAGCTAATGAAGCACAGAGCCATGCCTTGGGCCCCCATCTACTTTATTCTCCCTACTAGTTAAATATTTGAGAATAGGTGAATTATGTAAAAGAATGAGGATAAATAGAGAAAAAGAAAAAGACTGAGATTCAAGTTGTAGCCCACTGATGAGGCAAGATAAGGAAGAAGCTCATTTGTGAGGATCAGGAAAGGATACATTAAAAGATATCCAGCATTGTTCCTTTCAAAAGGGAGATCAAAAAGAATAAGGACTAAGGGAGAAAAATACAATAGCCTTTAGATTTGTTTGAAAGAGTCCATGAGGACCTTAAAGAAAAATTGACTTAATAGAGAGTGAGGGTAGAAGCTGGAGTATAGATGTTTGAAAAATGAGAAAAATTTATTCCTAACAGCTCAAGAATTTGGTTATGAAAGCAGCATGAAACAAAGGATGGTAGTTCAAAATAAGACAGGATGAAAGCTTTTTTTTAAAACTAAATCTTATTTAAACTAAGAAGTAGCAAAAAAGTTCAAAATGGCTGGAGTGTATAGGTGGGTACACACTGAGACTAGAAAGGAGAGCGTATGGAACACATGGGAAGGATTATAGCCTGACATAAAAAACAAATACTGAATATATCCTTCTTCT